TTTCTTGGTTTCCTAATTGTTTGTTCGTTTGTTTGTTTGTTTGTTTGTTTGTTTGTTTGTTTGTTTGTTTGTTTGCTTGCTTATTTGTTAAGTGTAGTGTAGTGTAGTGTAGTGTAGTGTAGTGTAGTGTAGTGTAGTGTAGTGTAGTGTAGTGTAGTGTAGTGTAGTGTAGTGTAGTGTAGTGTAGTGTAGTGTAGTGTAGCGTGCAATGCGCCGTTGCGTTTCTTCTTCTTTGTTGATGATGCGGGGTTTTGTGGTAAGCTAGGCCTTTTTATTTTTCTTGTTGTTAGGCTTATGGGTTTAGTTGAGTTGAGTTGAGTTGAGTTGAGTTGTGGGTTGTAGTCGGGACTTGAAGAGAGAAAGAGAGAAAGAGAGAGAAAAGCATAGAAGGAGAGAGAGAGAGGAAGATTCTAAATAATTGTAAATACTATATACTCTGAGTCATTGCTTTCTAGTCTTGTAGGCTGGTAGGTTTGTAGGGCTTGGGGTAGAGTTGGTTGGTTGGGATCATGTCGAGTAGAGTAGAGTAAAGTAGAGTAGAGTAGAGTAAAGTAGAGTGGAATAGATTAAAGTAGAGTTGTGGTGCAAAAAGGCTAATCTTCTACACCATGCAGAAGGTAGAGTAGATATATCCCGACAAGAGTAATATCAGAAAAATAGTCTTTCTACATATCAAGACTCATACGTACTCTTAATTATCTGCTCTTCATACTTTCCGCCCCTCTCTTTCTCTCTCTCTCTCTTTTTTTTCTTTCTTTCTTTTTGAGCAGGACGAGGGCAGGGCAGGCGAGGGAAGGAGTACCTCATCCCTTTACCATTTTTTCCATTCCTACTTCTTATTCGGATTCTCACAGCTAGTCTTTCATCCTATTTTGCATACCACTTTTTCCATATAAATATCTCTTCTTCTCTTGTTCACGCTGAGCTCCAAAGTACCTAGCGTTGAGAGTAATTTACTCACTTGATCCTTTCTTTCCATCACGTGAATACCGAGAATAATGGAAATCAAGACTCGTTTTTGAGAAAATGCAATGCAATGCGAGAAGCGCGGTGCGAGGAGCGAGGAAAAGCTAACGCTATAAGATGTGTGTTTACATACGCTATATCTCCAGAGTGCGTAATACGCATGTAGGCAAGAATCTTGGAAGAAAGCTAGGAAGATATCAAAAAATAGGGGGGAAAGGCACAAGCTGGTAAGTGTACTGTACAAGCGTACTTACTATAAGATAAGATACTCATCACTTTCGCCGCTGTACTTGCGCGTGCCTTTAACCTCGTGCCGATGTGACTTGCGAGCTGGGATTTGACACGTAGAATAGATGGTACGTTGCTTTATGTGTCCATACTTCTATCTCACTGCTGCTATGTACCTCACTCGACACACTTACATCCGTAGCACACATCTCAATCCCCGCATACAATGCAAGCTGCAACAAGCTCCACACGGATGCGACATGGACTGCAGCAAAAACCAGCTTCGTGTTTCGCATGACCGAAAACAGGCAAAACAGAATCAGGGAGAGGCCAGAAAAACATGGGCACATTGGTATATCGGCATTTGTAGTGTTTATGTACATGCTTAAAAGAAGGGGGAAGAAAGTGTAAGTTTAGCACATCTATGAAAAAACAACAGTAGAGGAGATAGATATCAAAGTGGATAAAGAAAGGCCAAGGCCATTGTTTTTTTTTGAAGGATGGATTTTTTTTAAAAAGGATGGGAGACTATAAGGACTAATGTAAAAAAAAAGAGTCTCTTCCTAGCCTGCCAAAAAAAGACCAAACATGCCTTTCTTATTATACCTCTTCTATCCATCTCCAGTATTGAATAGGGGAAAATAAAAGGAAAAAAAAACGCAAGGAGATATATGGTACACCCATTTCTTTTGCTTTGTACGCTTTGTGTGGAATTATTTATAGCATGAGCATGGCGAAGAAACTGGCAGCAGCCATGACAGTGTAGGCGCTCATTACCAGCTGGCCATGGGCGAAGAAACCCGGGGCGTTGATGTTGGCAGCAGCGCCCTTGGAGCCAGAGTGCGAGCCCGAAGCTGCGCTACCACCCGCGCTGCCTCCTCTGCCGGTAGCAGTGGGGACGGTGCCTTGGCCGTTTACGCCGGCTTGGCTCAGGAGAGACGCACAGCCGCTGGCAGTGGTTGCTTGTTGAACGCTGGCCCTGCCAGAGAACTTGCAGGCATCGGAGCGCTTGCCTTGGCCAATGTAGTATTGGTTGGCGGCAAAGGCAAGTTGGTCCTTGGGGTTGCAGCCAGAGTAAGCGCCGTATGCGCCCATGGTAGCATTGCGAGTAATACCCGCGCAGTTCTTTTCGTTTTGGCCGCAGATGTAGCCAAAATCCTTGCCGTAGGCCTTGTCGTCGTCGGAAGTGTAGACACAGTCCAGACTCTGTACCATGCAGGAGCAGAGCTGGGGGTTGACGGTCGGAGGCAATGGAGTAGGGTTGGCAAGCCATGTGCCACTGACAGTAGGGCACGCAGGCGGCGTGTTGGAAGGCTTGTAGTCTGAGAGCTTGGTGCTGGTCGGCGAAACCTTGGCCAACTGATTGCGGAGAGAGGTAAAGTCAGGGTAGGGCGAGACGCTGGCACCGTTGTCGGTGATTTCGACAAGGCCGTAGTTGTTGGCGCCCATGAACCACTCGTAGACGATACCTCCGGAGAATACACTAGTCATGTTGCCAAACAGGACGGGAACTTCGGTAAAGGGACGGCTGGTAGGACCGCCCGGAAGACCCACAATGCATCCGTACTCGGCGAAGAAGACAGGGACAGGATAGTCGCTGAAGAACTTGACACGCTCATCGTAAGAGGAAGCCTGGTAGCTGCTGTCGCCGCACCACGAGTACACATTGTAGCCCCAGAAGTCAATAGATGTGCTGTTGCCCGTGTTACCGGGCTCGCAGGCAAAGTAGTGGGCAAGATCGTCGCGCGAAGGCACGTCAGCGGTAGCGTATCCCACACCCAGCGTCTTGCGGTACTTTTGCGTCTGGATGTAAGCCTTGGTGTCGCGGACAGCAGCCTTGACAAATGCAGCAGCCGCCGTCTGGTTGTCGGCACTGACGTTCTCGTTACCGGCGAAGAAACCAATGACGTTCTTGTACTTGGCGAGCGAGTCGATGACGCCCGTGTACCGCTGGTAAAGGGTAACGTCCCACTCGGGATCATTTGAGTTGATGGATGTCGCGGGCTCGCCCAAATCCGAAACGACGTAAATGTCAGCGCTGGCCAGCTGCGCCATGCAGTCATCGTGGTTCTTTGTCGGGTCAATGGCATAGACACGGATGACGTTTGTGAAGAGTTGCTTGAGGTAAGGAATGTCTCGTCGGCAGGCATTGCCGTCGGCGAGGGGGTCGGTGTATGTAACGTTTGTGCTAGTGGAGCCATTGGGGTTGTAGTTTTGCTGGTAGGCAACACCCTTCATGAAACTGGGCAGACATGTCAGTGCGATGCGACAGGCGAATGCAGGCCGGCTGGCACGTACAACTGCGAGCCATTGTTTGTGTAGAAGAAATGCTGGCCAACGACCTGAATGTCGGGAATGTCGTCGTAGCTGGCGGCCTGAGCCCCGCTGGCAGCCAAGGCAGCGACTGCGGTCGAAAGCAGGCCCTTCCACACGACCATGGTGGTTTGGCACGGATAGCGAGTGTACGAAGAAGATGAACGAGTGTCCGCGGAGCCGTCGAAGCTTTGCTAGAGCACTTGTTGCGACTCGAGGGTGCGAAGGCGAGGGTGAAGAAGAGTAGTGGCGGGCAAGAAGAATAGGGCGGCTTGACGGACAGTCCGGGGGCGGGCGGGTTTTTGATGAGGCGCAGGACGCGTGTCTGGGGGGGCTGCTGCTACGACATGCGGCTGCGAGAGGATCGAGCACGAGTATTGGCGAGCTATTCTAATCATGGCGCAGGCCGGGCCGAGGTGGCGGCGCAGTGTAGACGACGATGACAGCGACACCCGGCAGACGGTAGTGATGGGTGGGGCGCAGCGATTAGGCCACCGATCCACCAATCCCGTGCTAAGCTTTTGCGCGCGCCTTGGCATGGCTGCCTTCCCCAGCTTTTCGCGCCTTGTCCTGGGCGAAGCTCTCTGCTTGCTTCTCCTCCATCGTCTTCTTCTCTCTTGCCATCGCTCCCCCTCTCCCCTCTGCGCGAACTGCGCCCGCTGGCCATCGTCCTGCCCGTCAACCTCCTTTTCTGAGTCGTCTAACCACACGGCCGTAACCTGGCGCCGGCCTGACCCTTGCCTCGCACCCGGCACCCGGCACCCCGACGCGCCACTCTCCAACAGGCCCTGGACGCTTACATGTGGCAGCCCAGCTAGCCACCGTTTGCATGCGCCTATTCGCGCAGTATACGAGCCCCGCTCCACCCGGACTATCGTCTTCCTCTTCAAGAGACAATCAGGGACCAGAAAGCACGTCGCCCTGGCTGCGTGTCTGCACTACGCAATACACACCCGATATCGTCTTGTCCGGAGATGCTGTACGCATATGCTTTCCCCAAGCCACTGCCCGGCCACGACACCTCGCTGCGCTAGTTTTTCCTCCTCGCCCATACCTTCACCTAAGCCCAATACAGCCTTAGCCGCCCCTCATGCACAAGTCCGCTCCTTTTCTGCAAAACACCGCGTCGCGGCTTTGCAGCTGCTCTAACGCAAGCAGCCTCGTAGAAATCCACTCAGGCCCGGTCCAGACGCCACATCAGGTTCGGCCAGTAGGCTAAATGCTTTCAGCCCTGGTCCGACGACACCGCAACCAATTGTGAGGCTGCGACGCTGCCAGACAACTCTTGCGCTGTGAAACCATGGTGTTGGACTGAAACTGCACCTGTGCCTTGAGTGGTACATTGCCGGCGAAATCTCAAGTAAAGCCGCCATGATCAACCGCTTTGTGGCGCAGCACAAACGCTAGCCTCCGAGCGGACCCAACCATGGCCTATACAGGAGCGCTAAATGCGATGAACACTCGTGTTATTTCCGGTTCCGATACCAAAAAGTAGCTCAACTTCGGCGAGCAGTCTAGCAGATTATTGGTCCCCTCTAGCTGACTGGCTGAGGACCACTAATGAAGCCGCTCACACGCGTTTCTCGGTGGCCGCCCATCGGATCAAGATTCTAAACGAACTTAAGAGCCCCTTACTACAGAGAACACCAATAGCAGATGTACTAGAAGGGGCGATGATCAGTGGGCCCACAGAAATATCGCAAAATTGTCCTCTTTCACCGCCGGCGTGTTTACTGCTTCACATCACAAGCATTTCAGACGCGAAGCTTGTAAACTGGAGCAACAGTGTCTATCATGGATGCACCGATACGCCGACGTTTGGGACAGGGAAACTTCGAAACCTTAGCTTGCGTCATCGCTGACAGCTGCCAGATTCTAGTATGATCAATCAATGACGTGGCGCAGCAGACACTTCAATCTGAATCTCTATCTGGACACATAAAGTGGTACAAAAATCATAAAAGTTAATTTCCATGGCCCTATATACGATACTCAAGATAAAAGGACGGTCGAACATGACCCATTACGCTGACGTTGATACTGGCAACACCCCTAACCCTATTTTACAACAGAACGGCCATGCCTTGAGCTGTCTTGCCCACGCCCATACTTCCCAGGTCAAAATGCTGCACTTGCTTCATCGACCCCTGTCCTCCAGACACGTCGAGAACAGTAACAGCCGCATTGGTTGTGCCATTACCCGGGCTGAGCGCATAGACAAAGTCACCCGCAGCGCGGAGATCAATCAGGCCTGGGTCGCCGTTGGCAGACAAGTCAAGCGTCTTGATGATGCTCGCATCCTTTATGCTCATCTCGACAACGTGGTTGACAGCGACGTCAGTGACAAATGCGCTCTTTGTCGCATCCGAGATGGTAGCCCAGCAAGTAGCCTTTTGGCCATCGATAGCAGCCTTGCCCTTGACACTTGCCTGGCCATCTTTGTTGACGGACAAGACAGCCGCGCCAAAGGACGCATCGGTGACAAAGAGAGACGAAGGGTCGTTGGGAACAATGGCTGAGCCAAAGAGTACGGCCGTGCCATTGGGCGAGCTCTGCGTCCCCTTTGCCGAAACAGCAGCGCCGCCTCCTTTTCCTGCCTGAACGGGAAAGGTAGATAGGAAGCCAGTGTTATTCACAGCAGGGTCACCCTTGACAGTTGTGAACAGATTCGACTCGTCTGCCGAGAAGAAAGTTTGCGACACGGTGTTGGTAGGTCCGACTGGCGGCGTCGTCTGTTTAATGTCGAACTCGCGAAGATTATCCATTTCTCCGAGGCCTTGGTGTGAGAAACTTGCGCAAGAGATACCAGCTTTGGCCCCGGTCGTGCCAACACAGGCCAGTTTGTTCTTTGCCGATGCGGCAACGGTGTTGGGAAACTCGCCTGGAATGGCAGCGGGCTTACCCACGCGTTTCAGTGATGTTGGGTCGTTGGCTGAAATTGCCATCATGGTAAGCGTGTTGGAGCCGGGATTGACAGCGAGAAGGTTCTGGAATACATGTTAGCTGGGCCTAGAGTCGTTTCGTTGCATTCCTCAAATGGGACAGGGCTTCTGAGTAATGACGGTATGAGGACCACGTGGAAACTTACATGGCCGACGACCGTCAGTGCAGACTGGCCAACCAATGCATCAGGCGTCGCTGGCTTGCCATCTGCACCAAGGGCAATGGATCCTGCACCGCCTGTCTTCGCCATCTTGCCGGCTGATAGCTTGCCGTCGGCTCCAATGGGGATTGCAACTACGGCGTTCTGAGCGTCGTTGGTGATCATGTAAATTGCCTTTCCGACTTTGGCGCCGTCCTTTTTCTTCTCCTGTTGCTGGGCAATACAGCCCGTACTAGCATCATTTTGTTGCTGTTGACCTTTTCGCGAGTGCGGAGCCGCTTCGGCCAGGAGCGGGAGCAGGTAAAGGATAAGAGCTGAGGAACGCATAGTGCCGGACGAAACACTGTCTGGTGTTTATGTTTAAAGAATGCAAAAAGAATGAATATTCGGAAATACCGATTCGCAGGGGTATCACAAGCGAACAGAGTATTAATGAAGGTAATGATGAAAAGGTTAGCTGTGTCTGTCGACTAAACACCCAGCTGCCTCAGCTCTTTATACGTGATCTCATACTCTAGAAGCCACTGACGAGAGATGACTGCCTGGTGCAACCGTTCACCCCAAGATTACCAGATCAAAATTGCCTAAATAGGCATAGTGCCATCTTCGCGCGGAGGACCTGGGGCCGAAAGGCATCATTCAAGACATCTTGTCCTACAGCCAAGGCTAGCCGAGTCACGCTTGGTGCCAGGACAGTGTTGAAAGGCTGTGTGGCTTCATCAAATCAGCCAGGTCGACAGCGACAGGTGATGCAGTTGTCATTGGTTAACGCGAAACAGGGGCCGTGTCAAAAACGACAAGCGACAGAAGTAACAACGATCGTTACCCAGACGGGAAAATTGATTCACCAACCAAGATTGCCTGTTGCGGCTAGCCCGAGCCATCTTTCCACTCAACCCCCCTTGGTGCTCGGGTGGCTCGAACATTATGTGGAGGCGGAGGCTGCGAAGGAAGGCTTGGCTCGCCTGACTTGGCGTGTCTCTCAGCCTTGTGGCATGGGCACAACCCAGATGGGCCAGCGGTTACAGATTCAACATAAGGAGGGTGTCTTTGTATGCGCCTTCTCCTGCACGCCTATTGCATATCGAGTTGGCGACGCCTCGGTCCAATCGCATCACACATCTACCACCCTCGCATCCTTTCCCCTTACCAATTGAGAACGAGAAATCCCGTTATATAAGTTGCACTCGGCGAATCGGCAGGCAAAGGGCCACGTGGGGTCTGAGACTTGCTTGCGGCTTTTTCCATTGCCTACTGCACGTCTTCCTTTTAACACTCTCGCTACCGCAGCGTGACATCAGCGCCCTGTATATTGCCCTATGCGGAAATTCGTATTTAAGCCTTTTAAAGGCGACAGCACGCCTTCGCCAGATGGTACGTACGCGGGCATCGCTCTCGCTCCTGCAAGGCTGGAAGCCAGATACATGTCTATATACCCTGAACAAGCGTTTCTTGTTCTTACACTGCAAGCAGATTCAATTGCATCTCAGAACCCGGTACAAAGACGAAGAGAGCAAGTTCGCAGGGCACAAAAGTACGTTTCGGACTGTTTTATTGCAACATCCTCTCCGGGTTTCCCCAGTCTGATCGCTGTTTGTGAATACCCTGTTTCTGGGTAATATGTTGTGCGCTCCATGGGTATATCATACGCCTTTTTTGTACGTACTAAAGCGGGTGGATACTGTAGGACCCATCGCGAGCGAAAAGAAGCATATACTGCGTCTCTGGAAAGCGAAGTCGTGCGTCTCCGCGCCACTAAAGCACGCCTCGAGACGGAGGCGAAAGCACTGTTTGCTGAGAACACTGCGCTCAAGCAATACTTAAATCAGCATGGCATTGCGGTGCCAATAGGACTGACAAGAGATCAGCATGTCATCCCAAACAATAGCAGCAACGGTAGCCCCGGGTATTCTTCTTATTCTTCTTCTGCCTCTCCCCCTTCTTCTTCAGACACAGCGCCCGATGATACGCTTGTACTGTCCGTGACGCAAGAAGACTCCACGAGCAAGAAGCGCAACTGGCGAAAACAAGTCTTTGTCCACCAGACATGTCAGACATACCAGACCAAGTCTTCCTCTCCTCAATCCATCAGGGCACCATTTGTCTCGCCGCCCTCATCCGGCTCCGCAACCCCCAACAACAGCATATCCACGACCATTACTAAAGCCTCACTCGGCAGCCTCGACCCGGAAATCGTCGGCATGGACTTCGTGTTAACCCTGGAATCCCCTTGTCTCTCCCATATCGACGTGCCGCCCACATCACCGCTCCTCTCCTCAGACACGTCGTCGTCGCTATCCAGCCCGCCTACTTCCGCATCCACAGGTACCTTTTCCCCGCTCAACACCGGCCACGCACTTACGCTCTCCGCCTGCGTACTGCATAACCACCCATCGCCGCCAGGCCAACGCCAGCACTCACACCAGCCCTGGCGAGTTCCGCGCGCAAGCCTCGAGCAGCTTCTCGCATTGTCAGCTGCAATTCCACTCGGCGACACTGAAGTCACGCCCGTGCAGGCGTGGGAGTACGTCAGGCGGCAGCAGGGCTTTGCGGACCTCGAGGTGGCGCGGTGGGAGGCGCTCAAGGAGAAGCTGGTCGAAGGCATCAAGTGTCATGGGTTTGGCGGCGTCGTAGAGAGGCAGTTGCTGGAGAATTCCGTATTTGAGGCGTTTGTTGTGGGAAAGGTGTTTTGATGGAGAGATAGAGAGTCGACACAAACACACACACACAGAGAGAGAGAGAGAGAGAGAGACGGATACCATAGCGTGGGATGATGGCTGATGGGCGGGGGGGGGGGGTTTGCGTGGGCCGGGAGAAATCATGGGATGCATGTATGCTTGAAAGAGATGCATTGTTATGATGGGTGTGGTGGACTTTTGTGTTTCTGCATTACCAGGAGAGAGAGAATAGAGGCGACTTTTCCTTTTGTGGGTGGAGCATGTTGCATCGATAGGGATGGAAGGTGTGTGTTGGATGGGATTCGTTGTACATTATTTTCTACATTCGTCTTGTTTTCATATTTTTTACAATCGTTTGAATCGCCATGATGTATCTCAATAGAAGCTGGCCAAAAAAAAGCCTCCAAGTCTGACACGGTCTACTTCATCAGACCAACAGTGTGCAGCCTGCGTATCTGCTTCTGTGGATTCGGAAACGAGGCAGGCGGAAAGACATCTCCGGGAGTTGGTCGCGGTCTGCGTATTTGCTGTGTTGGCGTAGGAGGAGTAGCAGACTTAGTCGTTTCGGTGGGCTGCTTGTTTACACCTCGTGACTGGCGTTGAACTTGGTAATCGTCGTCTTCTACATCTTCTTCAAGATCCTCTATGTCCTCCTCTAAGTCTTTCAAAGCTTCATCGGCCGTCTTGATTTTTCTTTGGTACGTTCTTACTACACCGCCCCATAGAGTGTCCAGATCTACTTCTGCTCTTTTCTCCCCGGTGAACATTTGCACCACCACATTAACACCTGGCTTGACATCTCTGAAGCCCACAAACTGTTCCACATCGTCGCCAGGCATGTGTGTATCTTCAGGGTGCGCCTCCAGCTTGCCCAATGTACAGCAGATCCAGCCCGTGCGGATTCCATCGTCAATGTTACCCTCTGGCATTGTCCCGCCCACATTTGCCAGCATCCTCATCCGTTTTGCCTTTCGCCTCAGCTTGATCTTCAGCTCGTTCCGGCCCAGCAATCCGGCTGCATCCGCCTTCAACCCATGTTCTCGTCGTAGGTAGCGACAGAAGCGGTCTGCTGCTACGTGTAGATGTTTCTCGGACCGAGCAGTCGCGAGAATCATGATTAATTTTGGGCCCAGCGCTGGTGGGGGATCGAGATCTCGCAGGTCAAGCAGTTGGAGGTCATCGAGACCAGCTGTGACTGCAATGTAGTCGAGAAGCGTTTCGAGGAGCGGCGGGGGATTGGGTGGTAGGTCGGGGATTTCGGCAGGCTGTTGTACTGGCGTCTGGATAGACGACTGTTGTTTCAGGTACCATGGTATAGAAGCCTCGGCAGGGGGCGCGGTGGAGTGGGCACTTTCGACAGTGGTTTCTGGCGCAGCCTTTTCTAGGTCTTCGGCGGGGACGTCATTGGTCGTAGTGCGCTGTACTTTGTCGCTGGGAAAAGCGAATTCGGAGTCCTCCGTCAAAGAGTCGTTTTGCAACCTTCTGGACGTGCTCGTGCTGAAGGCGCATGGCGAAAGTCTCAAAGGCGAAGCGCGACATACTACGCGGTTGGAGTTTGGGGCTGTTGCCGAGGCACGCGCACCGGCCCTCAGACAAGAGGTGCAAATAAACCTCGAAGAAACAGCCCTTGAAAGCGACATGGCGAGGTGCAATGGTGGTGCTGCTGCGTGTGTGGCGTCGTGTACATGGCATTTCTCAATGACATGGGCCTTTTGTAAATCCCTGCTAGCGCAATCAGAAGACGCGAGCTCCGCGGCGACTGACTGTCGCTTGCCTAAGGAAGCTTTCAAACGGCGTTGCCATGTTTCGAGAAGAAGATAAAACAGTCGAGGAATGCGATGGCTTCCGGAGATGAAAGTACTCCAGGTACCGAAGCCAGAGTTAAGGGAGCGATGTTAGTGCAAACGCCACTGCTTCACCAGCACCATTTCCCAACTCTACCGTTAGTGTCAATGAGTCCGATCAGTGTACAGACTGAAGCTAGCAAGCTGGTAGCGAAGGCTTGAAGTTTGGATGCGTGCTTGTGGGAGCACTGATGTCTGTGACTGGTGTGGCTTCGTGGTCGCTAATCCAGTGGGTGAAGACGGGATCACGTGACGATAAGCACCTTATCAGTGCGGCGAATGTCTGAAGTGGGCAGGAAATTTTGGCGGGGTCGTGTTTTAGTCGCGGGTGAATTTCCAAGCAGACTCGCCACACTTTTCGACTCATAAGTAAACACTTTTTGCCTTTTCCTTCCGCTCGATACCCAGATCCTTCCCCTCGCCAACGACCAGAGGGACCCGTCGTCTTGACGACACCACTCGCCTTTGGAACATCATCGCCCAGAATGGACGGCACAATGACAGACGCTCAGCGCTCCTTTGCGCCTGCGCCCAAGAACGCAGCCACGATTCTTTGCGCCGACTGTGGAGCGCCTGTCGATGGCACCATATCCGGTGCCTTCTGCTACGACTGCATAAAGCTCAAAACCGATGTCACCGGCGGCATCCAGCGCGAGGCCATCCTGCTCATGTGCCGCGACTGCGACCGATGGCTCTCCCCTCCCTCGACCTGGGTTGTCGCGCCCCCCGAGTCGCGTGAACTGCTCGCCTTGTGCCTCCGGAAACTGCGTGGACTGAACAAGCTGAGAATCATCGATGCCAACTTTATCTGGACGGAGCCGCACAGCAGAAGGATAAAGGTCAAGATTACGGTGCAGTCGGAAATCAACGAGGGCGCCATCATGCAGCAGACGTTCGAGGTCGAATACACACAAAACTACAACCAGTGCCCAGACTGCGCAAAGAGCTACACCCACAACACATGGAGGGCTTGCGTGCAGGTGCGACAAAAGGTGCCGCACAAGAGGACGTTCTTGTATCTGGAGCAGTTGATCTTGAAGCACGGGGCACACAAGGACACCATCAACATCAAGGAGGTGCACGATGGTATCGACTTCTTCTTCGCACAGAGGAACCACGCGGTGGCGTTTTGCGACTTTTTGAAGGCCGTCATCCCGGTCAACATCAAAAGATCCGAGGAACTCATCTCACACGACATCCACACCTCGACCAAGAACTACAAATTCTCCTTCTCGTGCGAGATTGTCCCCATCTGCAAAGATGATCTTGTGGTGCTTCCCATTCCGCTCGCGAAGAAGATTGGCAACATTTCGCCTCTTACCATCTGCTCACGCATTGGCACATCCGTCCAACTGCTTGACCCCGCAACCCTACAAACCGCCGACGTCGCTACCGACATCTATTGGAGGACACCATTCCGGCCACTTGCAGATGTGCAAGAGCTGACTGAGTTCGTCGTCTTGGACATTGAGCCCTTGGGCAAACAATCAGGACGCCATTTCCTTGCCGAAGCGACTATAGCACGTGCCTCTGACATGGGCGTGAATGATACCACATACTATTGCAGAACTCACCTTGGTGGCATTCTGCACGTTGGTGACTCGGTAATGGGCTACTTGCTTGCCAACACCAACTTCAACAACGAGCTTTTTGATGTACTCGAGCAGAACAACAAGTATGCCTCTGCCATCCCGGATGTAGTACTGGTCAAGAAGTTCTACCAGCGATCGAGGAAGAGCAAGAACAAGCGAAACTGGCGTGTGAAGCGCATGAACAAAGATGAAGGCGAGATGCTGCCGCGTAAGCAGGACCAGGAGCGGATGGAGCGCGACTTTGAAATGTTCCTGCAGGATGTCGAAGAAGACCAGGAACTGCGACAGACTATGGCGCTATACAAGGCTCAACATAAGCAGCGGGATGTTGATGCAATGGACACCGAGAGCAGTCTCGGCGACGACGAGGATGAGGGCATCCAGATCCCAATGGATCAGCTCCTGGATGATTTTGAGGACATGACCATGGAGGACTAAATGCGCGAATCCTTGTCGTCTCGCGATTCGACTTGTCTGGCGTTATTATGCTGCATTTCAAGGCGTTCAACTTGGGGAAAAAACTCGATTACCCTGGCGTTGTTGGCCGGGGGGAAATGTGCTGAATGGCAGTTACCGTGACAGGGTATGGGTGTGCCGCGTCCAAGAAAATTAGGAATAATGGAATCGACAGGCCTGGTTCCCTTTGCATCCTAGGTAGTTCGTCGTCTGTGCCCAAATCGGGCGCCCCTAAGATCACGCAATATCCGTAGACCCCCCGCCTCGCACGCGCTAGAGGGGCGTGAGATGTGATGGCAGGGCCCGACAAGCATGTCGAATGCAACATCCCCAGGTTCCTTTTTTCCCGTCTATCGCAGCCATAAAAATAACCATGCTAAGACATGCATTACTAGAAGCTTTCATCACCCATGACCCGGATCGCAGCCGTGACTGCAGCGTTGCATGACTCTGCACACGCCCATATCTCTGTGGGACGGCACAACAGCATCTACTAAATACGTTTTGTGCATCACCATGTGGATCTTGCACGTGTGTGTGTTTCAGCCACGAACAAACTTCCTCTCGTCGGCGTAAAATCCCCGGTCTAAAATGACAAAGTGACCAACTAGAGCCCGTGTTATGCTGAGAATCTGACAGCCACTAAGGCGTTTGCAAGATGGTCCGACGCTTGGCTGTTGCCATGGGCGTTCCAACTTTGAAAGAACCGTCGCCATCCACACTGTTGAAGTCGAACATCACGCCTTGCACAATGTCAGCGCAACGAGAGAATCACCAACCATGACCAACAATACGACGGCTTCACCGCTCAAGCTTGCGCACCGCAACCTCGGGACACAGGAACGGTAGTGGGGTCGACAGCGCGTGTCGCACCACTGCTACAATCAGATCCCTGAAGCGCATGCCATCCCAGCCTACGATCACGGCAGATCGCGTCCGCCGAGTGGACGTAATACCAAATGTAAAGTCCCTCGCGATCTCTGTCCACTGAAATGCCTTCCTTCCGCTTTTGAAGCTGACAAAACCTGCGACCCGGGCACGAAACCACATGGATACTACAATCGTTTAATCCCGCTCAAAGATTGGCTCTTGGAGCATCGTTGACTAGCGTCTGCTATGGTAAAACCACCCAAGGGACCGAGCCACAACTTATTATCCGTTGCCTGTATTATTTCTTCGACATATCCGCCGGCGGACCTCTGCTACCAGCACCCCATATCGAAGCAGCCAACATGACTGACAACCCATCCATCATGGCGAATGGATTCACCCAAGTCATCACGATGATGATGCAAAATCCCCCCGATCCCAATGAACACATCCCGTTGTCGAACAAGAAAGGAACAATATTCGGCACCACCATTACATTCCTGGTACGCAACTCACACGACAGATGGACTGAGAGACTGATCTGTTTAGGTCATCAGTTGGCTATTCGTTGCCTTTCGCCTTCATACCCGACTAATAGTGCTTCGCGAGCCTGGCCTGGATGACCTCTTCGTGGCGCTGGCAGCCGTGTTCCACCTCGTATCAACCATAGCGTTCCTTTGCTGTACGAGTTTCCAGAGGTATCTGTGGTACGAGTATCGCTGACCACTCAAGCAGGTACAAACTACGGCTTGGGAAAGCACCTCATCTTTGTTCTTGGGATGATACAACCGACCATGATGTGGCTCTACATCACAAATGGCGCCTACAATACCACAACGGGCTTGATCAAAATATCGCTCCTCCTTCAATACCTGAGACTGTTCCGCGAAGGTATCCGCCGTATCGTTTGCATCGTCCTCCTTGTCATGGTTATCTGTTGGGCGATGGCATTTGCCTTCATGGCTTGGTTCCCATGTTTTCCCGTGTCTGGCTTCTGGGACAGGACCAAGGCAGCCAAGTGCTACGGCTACGGATATCGATCCACACTCGAAACAAAACACTTGATGCTCGCGTTTTCCGCAACAAACATGATATTCGATGTATCCATATTTGCTATTCCGCTAACCGAGTACTTCCGGAAAGACCTGAGACGGAGGCAGGTTCTCGCCATGACGGGCTTATTTACGCTCGGCGCAATGTAAGTTCTCTGTTGCGAATGCCCAGGCGCCAACTGACAGAGACAGTGCCGTCATGATGGCAATCCTCCGCCTCTGGAGCACATTCAAGCACAACGCAAGTTCAGCCCAGAGCTTCGACTTCGTATGGTATGTAGCCAGCCAAGTGTGGACATCATCGTGAAGCAGAACTTGCCGCTGACTTTCTTGTACAGGTGGTACCCCGAGGTCCTCATCATCTCTTCGCTCGAAGTCAGCTTTGCAATCATGTGTGCATCCATGCCCATCTTCTGGCCCACTGTCATGATTTCCTGGGGCCACATCTTTGTCACCAACGAAGTCCGCGTCACGTCCCACGAGCGCCTCGGTAGCGTCAGTCAAGAAGCATATGAGCTTAAGAGGACAGAAAGTGTGAAGAGTAACGAAAGCACACGGATCCTGGAAAGCCCAGCTAGCGACCAAGGCAATCTATTCGAAAGATACTACCGGATTGAGATGATCAAATCTGAAGGCTTGGGCGTTACGCATATTGAGGCTCATCATCAGGCGCCGAAAGAACTTCCACTATAGCGGGTTTGCTCTTCAGGAGTTGGGTTTTCGGGTCTCCTTTGTCACCAAAATATGTATAATTACTAGATTTTGTTAAAACTACTAATAACTTAGACACGGAACAGGAAAGTGAGGGCTTAATAGTAGTAGTAGGTAGTATTATATTCTAAGACGAATCCTTAGCCTCTCTCATATATAGGCTTAAGGCTTATATACTATAAGCTAACGTGCAGGGTCAGTAAGCTGGGCAGATCAGTAAGCTGGGCACCCCACCAAACTTGACGCGACGCTCTACACAACCACCACCATGCCGCGACAACAACGTTCTATACATACTTCTCGTGAAGGCAGAATAAGCCTTGCTATCGCGTCTTATTGTAATAATCTAAAACAATCTATCCGTGCTCTTGCAAAAGCATATAATGTGCCACAATTAACACTACATACTCGCGTTCATGGTACTTAGCCACGACTAGAGCTACGGTCTGTTAACCGTAAGCTATCGTCCATTAAAGAGCAGTCCCTTGTGCAGTGGATCCTAGACCTTGACCGTCGTGGTTTTCCACCCCATATTATCGACGTACGACGGATGGCAGACGCGTTACTCGCCGCGCGTGGCC